CTTTTTAAAATATTGATGAGGTGTCTCAGTCATGACAACAAAGAGCACAAGCTAAAAATGAGTTTGTTATGTAACCAGTAAGAATATTGTTTTTGATTTTACAGGTCAGGCTAATTGTTTCCATTAGCACAGTGTGAGTATGTCAAGTAAAATAAAATTTGAATGTGCTTTATTTTTAAAAACATACTTGGGAGGCACGGTGGTACAGCCCTAGGCTCTGTCGCCTTACAACAAGAAGGTTCTGGGTCCAGTCTTTTCCGGGCCTTTCTGTGTACACATTGCACGTTCTTCCTATCAATCAATCAATCAAAATTTATTGCTATAGCACATTTAAAAAGACCACAGTACATCAAAGTGCTTCGCACAAGTGCCGTAGTGTGGATTACAACAATAGACAAAGAAAAGAAAATACAGTAATAGTTACAGTAACAATTACAGTTATGGAATACAAATGCAGACCGGGTGGAAGTCCGAACTAATTAGCTTCAAAGGCTAGATTGAACAGGTGGGTTTTAAAGCATGATTTAAATGATTCAATGGATTCTGACATGCGGAGATCAGGTGGAAGATTATTCCAAAGTTTGGGTGCGGCGATAGCAAAAGCACGGTCCCCTCTGGTCTTTAGTCGAGGCCTAGGTTGCACTAATAGCAGTTGGTTAGAGGATCTAAGTGCTCTCTTAGGGCTATACAAGTCAAGGAGGTCGGTTAGGTAACTAGGTGCCATGTTATTTAGAATTTTGAGAGTATACAAAAGGATTTTAAAAACGATACGGTATTTGACGGGGAGCTAGTGAAGATCCCTATGCCTTCATGAGTCCTCGCCTCTTCGGGCTCCATGACTGGGACTCTAAGTTGGCTCGTGTTTAAAATGTTCAGAAGGAATCAGAGTGTGAATCAGATGATGCAGCTTATAATGTAAAGTACTTTCAGTGGTCAAGATGCTATGTTACATATCACTTAGTCTCAGAAATGTACTGCTGTCCCAATTGAATAAAGCACATGACAGAGTAGCTATCACAATTCTAAAATCTATATTTGTCGACTTTTCTTACTGCTACTTGTATATCTTTAAAATAATGCATTTGGGCCATGACTGAGCCATTCGAAAATTATGCTTTCTTCTGCTAAAATGAGCGTAAAAATAGAAGAGCCAGTTTTCCCATATGCTCTCCAAACTCCTCACATAACAAGTATATGCTGCTGCTTGTTATAGGCCATACACATTGTTTTCTATGCCTGGTGAAAGCTGTGTCCAGGAGGAGCATTAAACAAACTGTCAATTGAATGCTTGTAGAACGTAAAAGAAGAAAAATCTGCTAGGCAGTATAGAAGAAGGAACTAAAGGTCTTTTGCAATGTCTGCACTTTGCTTTACTTTGATGCTCAATAAGGAAGGAAATCTTAGAGTAGCATACAGAAATGTTTAAAATGTGCACCGTTCTTTGTTATTGTGTGAAGCTATGAAAAGAGACCCGTACTGGAAAAAAAAACCTATGAAAAATACTGTTTTGTAAAGGTTTTTCTCACACTGAGGATGATTTTTTTACGTTTAGAAGAAGCTCGTGTTTTGTTTTACTCGGGTTAATGCTGAGTTATAATTCAGTTCAGGGGTTATGTGTCCCAATGGATACAATCAAAGTGAATAGTGCTCTGCATATCTAAACCCAAGTGCTGAAAACAATCTTCTTAAAGTGCTACACTATTTAGAGACAGTATATTCAATCACATCTCAATATTGTCCTCTGAAATGCCGGTAAAGGTCAGAATTAGGTTTGAGATTCAACACAGCACACCTGCCACCATAGCTTTGAGCAAAGCAACAACTTGTGTTCCTTAAATCCTCTTTTCTGCAGCAGTTTTGTCCCACAGCTACACAAACATAAAATTACCATTTGGAGTGTGAAGTTCTCAGGATGCCCTTCTGTCTGCTGTTTAATGAAATTCATGTAATTCGAGACATATGCAGTTTACCTAAAATTGACTCTGTGGCAGGATATTTATTATCTAGTAAACAGTCAATCTAGAGCCTGAACACAGTCAGAAACAAATCAAGCTGCAGTGGCAGATAATCTCTCTGCAAATGATTTTGGGATCAGATTCATTAGCAGAAGGTATTGTTGTTGTTTCAACACATAACACAAACGTTAGAGAGCAGGATTCAACATGTTTGCCACCGCTTGAATTTCAAATAATTGCACGTTAGATAAAAGGCCACTGAAACCTGTGTTTGTCCATTAACTCATACGACATAACAATTACAAATGACACGACTTGCACATCTTCTTTTAACTCAAACGGTTTGCTGTTCATAGAGATATAGCTGCACAGTTTTTCCTGCACCAAACAACACTGGCTGACAATGTAACTCATGTCAGATTACTGACTTAGAGCTATTTAATGAATATGCGTGTTATCTCGGAGTGGTGATATATAATCTTCTTTGTTTTGGTCTAATTCATCAGGTCAGCCTGTTCCCTCTGAAGTTGCACTTGAAAGAAATTTTGTCTCTACTGTGTCATTAATTTCCAAAATATCATCCTCTCATAGGCTGTTGTTCACGTCATTTGAGAATCGCTTAAAAATGACAATTTTAAACCCCCCTGTGGTTGTTTCATAGCATGTTTACACCATTCCTTGTGTTTTAAATGCCACACTGCATTTGTCATCCAATAAAACAGGGAAAAAAACTAAAGTTTCATTTTATAAAAACAGCTATGTGGAAACTAATAAACTATACAGAGATAGTCTAATAGTTTCCACAGAGCCTGAGTTAGAATATTCCTTTATTCCTCTTTGATTTAGGACATTTTCCTGAGCTCAATTTTTTCACATCGTTGGTTGAAGTGAATAACCCTGGCCTACCTCACATCGTTTTAAGTTCTTTGAAATGAATAAAATCATATTTTAATCATATTTTGTGTGATTTGGCTCTGAGAGGGAAAAGCCATTATAGCCCATAGAAAAGGCAACCACACATGAATCAACATTTTTGCTTTTCTTGTTTCAGAGGATGAAGAAAATGCCATCATCACCTAGCAATTCATTCACATGACAGCCTATTTCTGCTGAGAATGAATGAACAAAAAAAAAATGCAATACTGCTCTGTTTGTGGTAAACGGCAAAGTAAAATACTTTCAAAAAACATGTGAATTACAGTTATCGTGCAAGAAAATTCTGTGAAGATACAAAATAAATGTCCGCCTTTAATAAGAAGAAAAAAGATTTTTGCTGAAGAGCAACAAGAATGAAGAGAGATTTCTATTTACTTATCTGACCTGATGCAAGCTGCACAAATTAGCATGCCCGCCTTACCTGGAAAAGAAAGCATGACCTTCAAGTTTTCAGATGGCACAAAATTAGTTTCAACCACAGTGTGTGAGATGCCAACCACCACACCACATCCAACTGCCTTTTCGTTACTTATATAATATACCATCTATGGCAGGGGTGGGCAATTCCAGGCCCAGAGGCCCAGTGTCCCTGCAGGTTTTAGATGTGTCCTTGAACCAACACAGCTGATTTAAATGGCTAAATTAGCTCCTCAACATGTCTTGAAGTTCTCCAGAGGCCTGGTAATGAACTAATCATGTGATTCAGGTGTGTTGACCCAAGGTGAGATCTAAAACCTGCAGGACCCCGGCCCTCAGGGCCTGGAATTGCCCACCCCTGATCTATGGAATGTACTTAAATATACTGAGATAGTTTAGTTTTGTAAAAGTAAGGATGGATTTAGCTTTGTGGTTTTACGTGTAGCCAGTGAAAAAGTTCTTTAACCCTGCGTTCATGTTTAATGGCCACCAGTGTGACTGACAAGTCATTAACCAATAAGTATGCAGTGTTCACAGTTAAACCCACTCCTTAAAAAAATATCAAGATGAAGATGGTGAAAATTTTCATGGGAATGGGAATTCAGAATCTAATGGGTCATATGAGAATGAGTACAGTCTATTATACCATACTGAAACAAACACATAAACTAAATAAGTAATTGCACACAGTGTTGTATTTATGGAGTCTGGCACATGTTAGATGAAAATTCATGAATTTTCAGAAATTTAATGTGTGCAGTTTTTTATTCATTATTGATTGAGCAGCATGGTGGTGTGGTGGTTAGCAGTGTTACCTTATAGCAGGAAAGTCCTGGGATTGAACATGGTCTGAGGCTTTTCTGGAGTTTGCAAGTTCTACCTGCGCCGGCTGGACCTCTGGCTTCCTCTCACAGTCCAAAGACTGTGAGGAAATTTAGAATAACTTAGGTTATTTTCAATTGGCTGTAGAGTGGTGACTTGTTCGTGTTGTACCCTGCCTCTCACTAGCAACAGCTCAACAGCTGGGATAAGCTCAATTTCCTTCGTGACTCTGTGGACAGATGTTAAAAGCTTATCCAAAATTGACATGAGGTTTCTTTTATACTTATTTCACATATACTGTTTATAAATGATGGACATAACTCATGGTTGAAAAGTGAAACCAGTGTAGTTGTGTCTTAAGCCTGCATCCTTTGTAATGGTGAGATAGGGGTGATTCTTGTCACTGCAAAAGAACAACCAGGTAGTATAGAAGTCTATGGCAAAGAGCTCTCACTGTCCACCTTCCTGATGGGTTTATGGGCTCATTAGTTTCAAGTCATATGAATACAACAGGAAGTTTTATATTTTTTTACATTATGATAAATCATATGCCTATGAGCATACAGAGTGCCTTAGTTTCTCTGTCAGCGCAATTCATCAGGTTTCCAGAAGTAAAAATTGTAAACGTGACCCGCTCATCTTCCCACTTCACAAACAAATTGGCAATATCACATCTTTTATACACAGTGAGTGCTGTTACTGTTCTTATCTTCTGTGTCTTTCCATCGCATCCATAGATTTGGACTTCTTAAAGCAGAACTCCATCACAAGCAACAGCAGCATAAACTCAGATTTTTCCAGTTTTTTTTGAAAAAAAAAAAGTAATATTGCTACGACTTTTTAAAAAAAAACACAATTTTTATTTGTTATTTAACGGCAGATTCGTCAATACATTAATTATACATTAATGTATACAATTAATACATTGATTTAAAAAAAATGATGATCAGGATAAAACTTTTGAACCCATAGATTTACATTTATATGTTCAAATACAAAATTAAGGAGTAAAATTATCACCAACTGAAGCTTTAAGCGTTTCAGGGGCACAGTCCAGCTTCCACAGTCATTATGATTCCACCAATGTGAGCAAACACAAATGTAATTTAGACACCAGAAATATTATTTCAATTCAGCAAAATAAATATACATAGTGGAATTTAATAAATGCTGCCAGTCTTGTACTTTTAAAAAAACTTTTAAACAGAACTCTCTCGGTGAATATATTTGCAGTATTAATTTCGGCATTATTTTCTTGTGCAGCTGTCGGCATGACAGTTACACAACTGTAACTGTCAATTTTCAGGAGCCTTGTTGAGCTTTTTTCATTCTTAGCTTTAACTGAAAGATAAAAAATCGTCCTCTTCAATGTTCCCTTTCTGGTTACAAAATGTGACAGTGATGCCAAGGGAAAGTTATCAATCACTGACAAATAATACGTGAACAACCAACAGGCAGAAACGTACGCTCGAAGAGTGAAAGTGAACATCTAGAACACTTCAGAGAGGCTCAAGCTGATGAGGGTGTAGCTTTTCATTTCAGGACGAAATAATGATGGAAATAGGCTCTCCTACGATTGATTTTTAACAGTGCAGATGCACACTGCACCAGCAGCACACACTGCAGCAAGGGCTGTAACTACTGTAGAGATGAAGAGGGGAACCATTATATACTGTAAGCGCACATTGAGCTGGAGAGTAACAATTAAGGAGTTTATTAATTCATCAGTTATCCCAGGCCACCCAGTGGAAACGGCTTATGCTCACAGACTGTGACAGGAATCTGTTTATTATCAGCATGTTAACTAATTAAGGTTCTCAGATGCCCATTAAACTTTATTAAGGTCCATAAACCAGTTGACTTGTGTAAGATCTATTAGGAGAGCACATGTAGGAATTTTGTTTTTTACGCTTTGAAATTTGAACGAGTGCATTTTAACACAAATCCAATTATCTGCAGGTTCAGAAACATATTTGTTTTCGAGTACTATGCGCTCTCACAGCACAATATCTGCAGTCGCCACTGATTCATTCTTAACACTTTCCTTGGTTGTGTGGAGGCACTCAGCATTTGGTTAAGGTCAGGGAGAGATTATGGTCTTTGTTCACGATAGAAAAAGGCAACAGAGACATGAAGCACGATTTACTTTATTCACATTTGACCAAAGCCATAATCTTTCCCTTACTGCAGTATCTAATTTCTTTTTTTTTCTTCTATTTTTCTATTTTTTTCTTTTTTGCCCTCTGGGCAGAAAAACGAACACACTGTAAACATAACACTGACCTATGCCGTTATCGTAGTTGATTTCGTGAGCTTTTTGGCACACAGTTGCCAGTTAATTGAACAATTGAGCAAATCGAGAGCAGCACTAGTCCTCATTTAAAGTCATGCTTCTGATCACCTGACATATTTAAGTCTACCATCTTTCTTGCTTTTTGCTCTGCTTTGGTTCTCCATTAACTCTGGGTTAGCAGTGGTGCCTTGACGCATTGGATGAGGCAAAACTGTACAGCTTGATTATGCTATTATGTTATCTTGACTATTTAGCATGGTCAACTTAACAAACATTTACTTTAAAAAAAAAAAGTCCTTTATTTAAAATTCAAATAAAAGACAAAAAATAAAGGCATAGAGTTGGTTCGGGATACCAGGATCTCCTACAGGACAGAATAGGGAGTGTTTTTGACCATGAAGCCTTTCTTGTAAAGGCAACCGGCCAGAAACTTCCATCACAAGATATAAGAAGTTACACACAGGGCACAACAAAAGGCCCAGGCAGCAGAGGATTTCTGCGCCTTCTGAGATCTGCGCGGTAATCACAGGAAGAGTGATGGAAAGCTGAAGCAATCAACCGCCACCTCGGCTGCACACTGCTGAAAGCAGATTGGTTGGGAGAGCCTTGGAGACAAAAGCAGCTGAAAGCAATCATTAATGGTCTTTCTGCTGACTCACCTAAAGAAACCTTTAAGGACTTTTACTTCTTCCTATTGTTGACTAAAAGCTCTCGTTTCTTAATTTAAGCTTGTGCTGAAATAAACAGCACGAAACTTTTGGCTTCTACAGAGGGTCAAAAGCAAAATACCACCAAACAAAACGAGAGCTTCACAGCAAAACGATTAATGCAAAAGAATTGTTTTATTAGATTTGTCTTGCTTTCATTGTGGTTGAAAGCCAAATTCCTACCTAAAATAAGTCTGACTGCCCGGCGTAACTGAACACGGAGAAGAAAGAGTCCTATTAAAACAGTTGGCATGAATCATATTTCCCTGACAAAGGTGTTCCAAACGAGAGTTTTGTTTTATTCTGTTTTCGCTTGTTGATCGATTAAGTTTAGGTACCAAAACTCGGTTAGGTATAGAAAAACATCATGGTTTCACTTTTAAACAAGCTCCTGTGACCTGATGCGTCACTACACCAAAGAACACCCTGTACTTATCTCACAACTCGAGCGTCAATGTGCCAGGAATGAGATCCGACTGAAAGCAGACACCTCACATTTTCTTTGTGTGTCCTTTCAATCGGTTTGTTTTTGTTTATTTGTACGTTTTGTGCTCATTTTGTATCTTTTTGTGCTACTGTGGTTTTGTGCATGTCTTTGTGGATCATTTGATCTTTTTCTCTTCATGGTAATTTAAAGCCCTTTGTGGTAATTTTCTGTGTTCGTGGGCCTCGTTTAGTAAAATTCTGAAGGTTAAGCCTACGAGGTGTTGTGGCTTGTGGCCACTTCAGCAATTTTTAAATCAATTTTAAATTACTTTGTTTGATTAAGGAATTTCCAATAGCATTGTTTTAGGCAATCGGTGACCTACATTACTGCTATCCCTCACGTATCCTGGAACAATTAGCTCCAGAAAAGACATTCCCCATTACTTAGCAATACAAATACTTGGTTGATGACAAGCTACACAGGTAACAGGCATACGGTTTACTCTCAAAAGGCAGATGTCTTTGAATGCAACCGTTGTCATGGGAAAAAACATCAGTATGCTAAACATATTCCGACAAGTGAAAGTCTGAAAAGTACTTTTGAGATGTTTTAGTGTTCCTCTCTGAGGCTGCTTGAGTGACAGGAACATACAGTAGCGATAGGGAACATTTCAAGTCTCTCTTTCATCTGGACGGGGACACAGCACTTCCAGCGAACGTGAACCATTTCCAAAGTCCTATTTTCCTCTCTATGTTGGGATCCATTTCCATCTATCATTTTTCAACATTTTGGCAAGATCCAACTGATGCAGCAGCAATGTTTTGATTATACTGTGACAACACATTATGAAGAAGTCAGTAAGCTTACAATCTTCTTTTCTTTTTTTTTTCTTTTTTCTTTTCTTTTTCTTTTTTACAGAGGGAACACAAGAAAGCCAGAAAACGTTGAGTATTGCCATCCACCGACTAGGTTTCCTTTCTCCAGCTTAAGGTAGACTTTGTCCTCTTTTTCAAGATAGAGCAGAACTCCATTAGTGGCTGCCTCACGAGTTACATCTTTGTCACCCGCAAAGGCAGAGATGACTGGTTTCCCATTCAACATCAAGTTCACCTGGATGATCCAACAGAAGTAACAATTAGCAAGAGTACAGCAGGAAAAACGGAATCTAAGATGTGGGTCAGCATAGTTTATTTCTTATTTGTAATTATGTCACTTGACCTCTTACATGGAGACGGTAATGTTAAACCCACTATACAAACACTTAAGTGCACTTACTGTGTACAGAGTGGAAGAGGGAGGAATATAAAGTCTTTTCTCCCTTTTTTTTAACCCCTTTTGGAGCAGTGAGTTTTTTTTAAAGGCAACATTAAGATGTACATGAGATTATATCTGGATGTGTTTTATAAGGTAGCTACAGTGGCTAACAAACAGTGCAAAATTGACTTTAGGAGCACTTCGCCTTTTGGATCGCTTTATCCTCTAATGTTTTTAGCACCCCGTCATGTGTCAATCGGAGTATCATTTTTGTGTTAATGGTAGTTGCTGCAACCATCAAGGAACTGTTGCAAAGTTAAATAAAGTTAACTTTATTCAAAAGCTGACTTTCTCCTAGAGTTTAGCTCGGGACTGGTCTGCTTTGCACTGACAGCAGTTCTTTCACCAATTATCACTCAATGCCACTGAATGTCACTGATTGTCTGTGGTCTATCGTCTTTAAATATGAAGATGCTAATTATGGCAGATGTATGCTGATTAGTGAGATTAGAGGGCTACCTGCACATTACACCTACAGGAGCGGCTCAGCCCTGGAAACCCATGCCACGAAGCTCCCGGCAGATTTTAATGCCAGACGAGGTTTGAAACTCTGCAGTTACTGAGTCAGTGTGTTGGTGGCTTTTAGGCACCATTATAACTCAGCCATTTAAATGGTTTGCTGTGATTCCTAAATGCTTCCAGTTTTTAATAATGCCACTTAAAGCTGATTGTGGAATATAACATCAAGCGAATTGGTTACAGATGTGCTCATAGACACATGAATTTTGCCTATCAGAATCCTCCAAAAAAAGCAAAATTGTTATCGCACCAAAGAAAATCATGTGTGCTGATGGGGATAAAATCTCTCTCCATCATAATACTTTAATGGAGGAATCACTAGGTGAGATAGTGTGATCCAGATTAACCTAAAATCAGAATTTGACAGCAAATTACTTATTAAGAAGCTTCAAACTGAGCCAATACAAAGGCTCATGATACTAATGAAACAAATGCACTGACATGGGAATGTAGCACGTGTATCTGAGAAACCCAAGAGCAGCAATGATGCATATCACCAACTACTGTGCGTTAGTTCTTTTTTTTTTTCACTTTAGCTACTTAATATTCTTTTCAAGGCGGATGAACTTTAGTGTTTGTACAATTAAATATTTGCAGAGGTAATTGTATTGTAAGCCATTATATTTCAACGTGGTCATTTTAAATTCAAATGAAATTCTTGTTAGTTAGTCACTGAAAATATAACCTTGGCGTCGAGCAGGTTTATTCAAACCTTTAACCTAACACATTTTTTTCAAGTCATATCAGTATGAGGTGTTTGTGCTTTTTGTTTAATGTGTGTGGGTGTGGAAATGCGGTGGTGGTGATTCATGGAATAAAACAATTAATCCAATCAATGAGGTTTTGATAATGAGACAGCTTTTTTTTTTTTCAAATGTCGCTGAATGTTTTCTATTGCAGATTACATGCAGAAATCTATTAAATAAATAAGTAAATAGAAATAATAATTATCTTAAAATATTCTGGGTAAAGAATGAAGCTGAATTTTAGGTCCACCTTGCCTTCATTAGTAGTTGTTCGTAGTATTAGTTGGTGCCAGTGCTTTTCTATTGAGATTTTGTGTGAGGGGATTTGGAGTCAGTGGTAGTGTCCAAATAATAAATTGGAATAATAATGCAATTCATTGTTTTCCCTTTTCCAGAAGTAAGGTGTGCTTACCTGCGCAAATAATTTCTTTATTGTCCCAGAGAAAGATATTTTGTCCCAGCCAGACACTGAAATGGGGTTTTACAACTGAGTCAACTGCACAGATGTGTAAAATGAACATAAAGTGATACCTGTATGGTTTGGCTCTGGTACACTTTAATCACGTGGAAGTTAAAACTGTAGACTCCTTTCCTCGGGGACAGAAATACTGATTCAAATGTGAAGTAGTTTCCTATATTCACAAGAACCTGTGAAAGGAGGGGGGGAAACAAAGAATGCGACAAAGGTGTTTATATACTCAGCTCTTCAATAAAGGTTTTAATTTCAAATGGGCTTTGGGATTAAATATTTAAATAGGACATCAGCCAAGCGCACTTCACTGTTGTGGCTACCAGGTCGCTTTCCTGATCAGACACAAAGTGAGTGTGACACACTTCAAAAAACATTTAATCCAGGCTTCCTTCTCGAGAGACCTAAACCTAGCAAGTGAATTTCCAACTCCACAAAAAAACAAGTGATGCGTAAACTAGATGATAGCCGGAACCCAACAACAGATTTTATAGATTAATTCCACTTTGCAGCAACAAAAACAAGAGAATTTCTTTTGTTCAGGTTTAAAGTGACTGAGAAACTACTTCTAATATGATACATACAGTAGAAATAACACTGACTACTTCTGTATGTTAAAAACAATTCAAAATGAACACACTGGTATATGAAGGAGATATTTTCATCCTACATTAATATAAACATAGAATATTTAAAATAATATGGAATGTGAACTTGACTGGGTTATCGTTGTAGGCATGAAAGGCTCCTGCAGAATCTCATACACTTGAATTCCACCTGTTAAGACTCAGCCAGGACCTTTGACATGGGTTGCTTTCATGGCAACAGCATGCATGATCCACACCAATCATATCTCTGGTAGTGCAGTATGACACCAAAAGATCACGTTATGTAATGTCATGTAAATGAGAGGGCAGAGGATCAGTTGTGTGATATGGTTACCAACACCTTACACTGCCCACCGATGCATGACTAATCGAGTTCTTGTTGTTTTCGCTGCTGCTTGATTTGTTTGGGTGTATTTATGTAGGTGAATGTGTGTGGATGGCGCGCGTAGTCGAGTGCGCGCGTGCGTGGCGGGGGTAGCTTGAGGCAAAATGATGGGTGCGTGTTCAGGCTCTGCAGGATGCCCGCCCTCAAACATAATCCAGTCACTTTCAAACCTGCTCGCGTGTGATTATGTGCACTTGAACAGTGTCCACATGCCAACCGATGCCAACAGAAACCAGCTTCAAACTAAACTGAGCTGCAGCTATACTTAAAGCTGCAAACATGTTCTGTCAAAGTCAAAACTGGGCTTAAAGATAAATATTTGTACTAAAACAATAGACCCAAGTACCTTCGTTCATTGGGAAATTTTATGGGAAAGACAGGAAAGATTTGGAAAGTGCTATTAATATATATTTAACCACTTTTGTCATTAGTGTTGTTCATTAAAAAAATAAAAACAAAAAAACGGTCCTAACCTGATCGAAGTAGATTATTCTTGTTTTGTTGCTCATTTCCGATGGTTCGTGGTTGTTGCTCCGGACTGCAGAGAAAGCCACCTTGGAGTTGGCGGCGCGCACCGAGATGCCGAGCGGAGAGGATGAAGCCTTCCAGTCCGTTGTCGGATTAGAGTCGCAGACCACGAGACATTTGCCCTCCAGGACGATCGGTTCCGTGTCATTCTGAGCTCTCACAACCTCAGAGATCACAGTCCAGCTGAGCATCAGTAGGAGTGAAGTAACCATGGCTCTTCTCTGTCTGTGACAACTGTGGCAGCGCAGATTCAGAGACAGTCTCCTGCACCACACAAGTTTCCGTGTCCCTCCACTGCTCTCCCCCGCTGCAGACGCGTCTGACGCTGTAAAATTCGCTTACTGGATCCAAAGATATGCCATATCCAAGTGAAACACAAACAAAAAAGCAGAATCCCTTTAAAGTCTAAATCTTCCCCCACAAAAAAAAAAAAATGAAAAACACGAAAATCACCGATTGTTTTCTATGCGTCTCATTTTCAGGTAGACTTTATTAAAAGCTCGTGGATCAGAAAAAAGTAGACCATCCAGTGCGTGACGGGATCAGTCGATAAATCGTCCATAGCCTTCACTCCCACTCCAAATAACACGTCTGACAATATCTGTTCCCGCAGTGATATGCTGCTTGTGTGCGCGCCCAGCCATCCACTTTACGCACGCACGTGTGCTAGAAGTTATAATTAACGGTCGCTGCGTAAATTCCCTAAAGCTTTCATTCCTCTATTTCCTCATTAAATAACCACAAAGCAAAGTATACATTCAAGAAATGACTGTATTAATGATGAAAATTGATCAGACACTGAACATATATTGATAGTTCCTCCGGTCCTTTCCTCTGATCCAGAAACAAACTCCTTAAATAATTATCCCCAAACATATTTCTGATGATTTCACAGTTTTAAATTACTCTGTGATGGAAGTACATCGCTGCATCTGTCACCAAGCAGGAGTTTCACTTCCCTGGTATCTTTCTGTCCACTCCAGCTGCAGGTTTCACTGTAATGTGGTGACTCATCATAATCTCATTGCACAGGTGGGCTGAATTTGACTCATGGTACTATGATCTTTCACATAAGTCATTGATGGGACTTTTATGTTGTTCTTGTCTTCACTACTTGCAGCTTTAAAATAAAAATAAAAATAAAAATATATATTTAAAAAATTCAACACGCAAAAACATTCCACACCTACTTACAGACCTCTACTTTAATTTCACTAATTTCACCTGCATCTCTTGTGAGCTGAATGGCTGTTTTGATTTGGTATAACAGGATTTGGGCTTCATACATTTATCACTCATCATCATCTGATGTAAAATTGTACTTGTCTGTCTTTGTATGCTGCATTAAATCAACAAGACACCCAAAGTGTCCTGAGAGAATATTGACAAGAGATTAGAGATGTGAGCACGTCACCTCTGTCCTTGTGTCACTATATGCTCTCCATAAAAAAGCAGATCAATTTTAACGTCCTTCCTCTGACTTACAAAGTGTTACATGGCCTGTCTCCTTCAGTTTTAATTGAGCTTGCTGCACCTTAAAAGTCAACAATAAATAGCTTAGAGTTTCAGTTAGTTTCAAATTTTTCTGAGGAGAGGGTTCATAATTCAAGTCAGGCTTTGCAAACCGATTCATTTAGCTACATGGATAAAGTACTATACAGAAAATGAATCAGTTGAGACCATTACAGACAGTAGCCTTGCAATATACCACAGTGCAATTGCTAGATAGTGAAAGCTGTAGACAGTGCCGTTAAACTAAAATAAGCCTGAATTCTAAAAAGCACATTTGGTGTTAGGCTTTCATTTGCTTTATCATTAAATCCTCGCTTATGAAAGCCGCTTTTTGATCTTTGTGGCTGAACAACGAGAGACCACAAGGTTGCACTGTTAAAAATGATTAAATGGTAAAATCAAGCAAGCATCCAACAACCAAATGGAGCTGAACCCTGACAAATCAGCCCGCTCTAATAGACAATATGGTGACAAGTGTTTAACATATTAATGATGCTTAAAAACAGAACATGCTGAGAGCTTGTCATTAACAGATTTCAGGTGCAATGCACATGGAAAAAAGCTGATATTCATAATATTTGTTCTGCCAATGGAACAAATGGAAAAAAATATGATCTGGTTTTGTCAAAAGAGCATGGTGACACAGTCTGTGGGGTTTTTTTTAAAATCTGAAAACGGACTGAAATATTTGCTGTCTGGACTGAAAGCTGTAGATCTGTGAATGCAGATGAATCTGTCTTTACCTGTCAGGCATTTGGGGCATCAGTCCATTTGACAACCTGAGGACATCACTACCCTAACCTGAGTAGTAGCTGCCATTGTGTGAGATTTGTGTCATCACCAAGCTCTGACAAATGGTTGCGTGCCAAATGTCGTGCATGTCAATATGTTTCCATGGCAATGGAGTTTGCAGAGCTGGGAGAGGATGGCTTGTAATGTGCTAAGAACCACTTTCCTTTGAAATTTTCCACTAGGCAGCAAAGTTGTCCAGATTTTCTGTTGACAGACCGAGACTCCAACTTTAGCCATTAATACCTGAAGTGAATTTATGAATTAAAAGGAGCTTCAGGTTACTTTAGCATGATGAAAATTTTAATAAAGAGCTGTGAAATACAACTCCAGTGTATCATATTATGAAGAAAACATCGTTTGGTCTCTGGAGGCATTGTCCAATATTTCAGGGCTTCCGGTCTATCAGCAGGATATTTGGGCAAATGATTTGTGTTTTAACCAACAGTCACTGTTAACAAATGTAGATGCATTATGAAAAAAGCACTTATTAAAATAAAGCTTCATTAGCCTTGTAAGGAACAGGACTCCCTTACTATATTTATTTATATTATATTATCTGTATAGCACTTTAGAGCACACCTTTCACTTTATTAAAAGCACCTTATCAAACACTGCACTTTAAGCATGGATTTGCACACAAGAAGTTTAAATATTTATTGACTATTTATTGGGAATTTTAAAATCAGTTGGTAGCCTTATTTCAGATCCTGCACAGCTGCTCCTCATCAAGGAATGTGGTGGTTGTCTGTCAGAAGAGAAGAATGGTGATTGAGATTGTGATTAAGGTTTATTAGTAAGGAAAACTAATGCAAATGTGCGTGTGAAATCTAGGAATAAAAGTGGTGCAAATAAGTGTTTGTAAGATGATGATTACTCACCTTTCTTGCCTGTGTCCTCTTCAAGGTGTTTGGGCAAATGTGTCCCTGGGGGTCCAGACACCATTTAAAGGTTCCGGTAGAGCCCATTGGTAAAGAGAGTGTGGTGAATCTTGTTGTGCTTGGGTTTCTGGGTTTTTATAATACTGGGTTTGGTGTAACATTAAAGTGTAAACTATTTATTAATATGAAAATGTGAAATGTATTTATTCTTATTGATATATTGTATACTGTGGTGGAAGGTTGGGATTTAAGAATTTACCTGAGAGTGGAATAATGGTTAATCTGTGACAGCTGAACATATTTAAGGCTGCCAGTTGTCATTAGAGGGGAATTTTGTGCTGTGAAGAAGCTCGATGAGTTAATTGTTGTAAGGAAAGCTGTATAGAAAATAAATGCTTTTTTGTTCCACTACACTTGCCTTGGTCCATCTCACTGTGTTTCCAGCCGCTAAGGGCCGCCCTGTTACAAGCCTTCTTAAACATGTTTGGTCAACTCAGAGTATAAACAGAAACCAGAAAACTTTCTGTACTCCGTTGCTCAGTTCTAAATATTCGTATGCAGATGTCTTTTTATAGAGATTATGAAAAAAGCAACTGCAGATACAAATGATCAGCATAAAGTCAGAGAATGTGCTGTGTATAGTCAAGCTTCAGTGAGCTAAATATTCAAAGTACATCTGTGCATGTGAATGTTGTAAAAATCTCATTTCATGCTACTTTCTCCCCAAACTATTATTAATAAAAATACAAATACTGAATGTCAGAGATGGATCAGCTGCCTAGGTGCCATATTTTTTTTTTTAATTTAATTTAATCTTTATGTAATTTTAATTTAAAGTAATAGGTCTCTATTTTTATGTCAAAAAATAAAGATTTGATGAAAGTGCATACTCTCATCTTTAATTCAAGCGGATTAACCCTTTAAAGCCAAGCATATCATATTTGATACAGTTTTGATAGTTTTTGAGACTTCTGCATCATCAAAAAATGATATAAATTTGACATATTTTTAATAGCTAAATTGCTTAAACATGGTTAATGTAGCAAATGTGATACAAATTAAAACTCATATATGCAGATTAAAATTTGATATATTTTGTCTAAAGGTTCAACAAACACTCCATTATGAAAAAATTAAAGATTTCTGGCAGTTATTCCATGGTTCAAGTTTTAAAGGGTTAACATAAGATTTTCATTGGGAATGACCAATGGATGAACAGGATTGGAAATGAGTATGTCAGAGGGTCAGCTCAGGTTAAGCAGTTTGGAAACAAAGTTAAAGGAAAAGCTGAGACGGGCAGTGCATATATTAGATAAAGGATGATTAGATAAAGGCAGATTACACAGAAGATGTAGTGCAGGAGGACACACAGACAGTTGGTATGACAAAAGGAGGATGAGGTCAGATGGAGTCAGCTGATCTGCTGCAGCGAAGGAAGAAACTGCATTTACTAGAACCTCTAAAAATTGGGAACTGTGTTTATAAATGACTGTAGTTCTGAAACAGCAGTGATGTTTCTGCAGAAAGCCTTGTATGCTCTCCCTTTTCAATTCTTAATAAAGGATTGAAACGAATAATGGCACTGGCATCAATAAAATCCTATCCATATCCGCCTCCTTTTTATTCCATTAAGAATTTATGCAAAGGACATAAAAAAGCAAACAAACAAAAAAGAAAACCTCTCTGGGCTAATGATTTTGTTGGCTGCTTACTAAAGGAGACCTGTTGGCTTGTTTGTTAATGGAATTTCGAGTTCACACAGTTTATTAAAAATAAGCCGATGTGTTATTGTCTCATAAGTGTCCTCAAAGCGCCCCTTGTTTATGAAGCTGTTTACACATTGTGAAACAAAAATGTCGGTGACACACAGTTAACGAGTTACAGTAGCTTCCTGTAGTTTGCACTCTCCATTCCCACATTAACACTGTCAGGTAACTTGAGTGACTTTGAGTGGGCCTGTATCTAGAAGTAAATGTTCAATATGTTTCTTTCTTGCAATGCCACATGACTCACAGTTGGATCACTTCGATAGTTTGGATCGGCATGAAAAGTCTCCTGGTTAAATGATCACAGAATATATCTACTTCTTTAAATAAAAAAGCCAAAGGTAAAGTCTTCACGTAAACATCCAGTCACCGAGCTTAAAGCTGAAGCTATCTTTGCGCAGGCTGTGTACACAAGTGACTGTGTGGATGTTCTCTCAGAGATTTGTGTTCGAAACGTCTGTGTCACCTCTCCAGTGTGAATTATTTGAATTAGAATTTTTCTATTTATGAGAAGTGGAACTCATGATTGCTCTCATAATCCTTCTTTCACTTTCTCGCCACGATGATTTCTAAATTATTTTCGAGAAAATGAATTATTGTATATTTTGTTGGATATCCACGAGAAATCTTTTCAAGTGTCTCTGCCAGCG